CTTTTCTGAAGATATCTTTGGAAGGACTGCAGAAACATACACTCTTGCTAGTGGTTGTAATATGTATTTGCATTAAAATGCTACTTAATACTAAATTGAGGTTTAAAGTAATTATAACTATTGCATCTTATATGTCAGATGAGATGCCATAGTTTAGTTCAGGTAATTTTGAAATGGTAAAGAGTTAGTCTACTTCAGAAGCCAAGCAAAAGGCTGGACTTTGAGTTGATTTTGGTATATCATGAGATGTACAGGTCTAGTTTTATTATCCTACATATGAATATCCGATTTTCCCATCACCATTTGCTGAAGAGGCAGTCTCTTCCCCAGTGTGTAGACTTGATGCCTTTGTCAAAGATCAGTCGGCTGTAGGTGTATGGGTTGATTTCTGGGTTCTCTCTTCTATTCCATTGACCCATGTGTCTGTTTTTATGCCAGTACCATGCTGTTTTGGGTATTATAGCTTTGTAGTATAATTTAAAGCCAGGTAGTGTTATGCCTCCAGCTTTATTTGTTTTTGCTCAGGATTGCTTTGGCTATTTGTGGTCTTTTGTTATTCTATATAAATGTCTGGATAGTTTTTTCCATTTCTGAGAAAAATGTCATTGGAATTTTGATGGGGATTGCCTTGAATCTGTAGGTCACTTTGGGTAATGTGGACATGTTCACAATGTTGATTCTTCCAATCCAAGAGCATGGGATATCTTTCCATCTTCTTTTGTCCTATTTAATTTCTCTCAACAGTGGTTTGTAGTTCTCTTTGTAGAGATTTTTCACATCCTTGGCTAACTTAATTGCCAAGTATTTTATTTTTTTGGTGGCTATGTAAATAGCTTTCTTGATTTCTATTTCTGCATGTTCACTGTTGGAGTATAGAAATGCTAGTGATTTTTGTATGTTGAATTCGTATCATGCAACGTTGGAGAACAGAGTTACTTGTCATATATGCTACCAGATAGGTATCAGGCAACGTTGGAGAACAGAGTTACTTGTCATATATGCTACCAGCTATGTATCCCAAGGCACCTTTGAGTCCTGTGTAGTACCTTTTCTTAGGTTGTGGAAGGTCCCCTATTGTGCTTCCTTAGGGTAGTGTGTACCAACTTATGGTTGGCCCCACAAGTGATCTGTTTCTTGTAATAATGAAAACCTCTCAAGCTACATGCATCTCCACCTCACACTTTCAAAATATTTTCAAATTCTGCCTCACAAGAAAGGCATTCAGGAGACTTCTCTGAATTTAAAGTTGGTCGATTGGATTTGAGATAGGTAGGCCCCATCCATGACTCTTCAGTATCCATGCATGAAAGTAGGATTTTTTTGCTTGCATCATGTCGGCAGCACATATAGTAAAGTTTAATGATACAGAGAAGATTAGCCTGGCCCCTCTGCAAGAATGACATATGAACTTGTGATGCTTTCCATATTTGTGCAGTCCCTGAAAGATTATTTGACTATTTTCTGACTAGTTCCAAGGAAACAGTGTGTGAGTCAAAGCAAAATGGCTGGCACCCAATGTTGATTAGCTCACTAATCAGGGACAATTACATTAGTGAATTTAATGAGACAATATATTTACCAATAAATTTAACTACAAAATATAAAATAGCTGAGTTGCCCCTTAG